ATATGGGTTGGTTCCAAGTCTCTGCTATTGTGAATAGTGCCACAATAAACATAGTGTGCATGTGTCTTTATAGTAGCATGATTTATTTTAATTAGATGTCATTTGTCTATTTTCGCTTTTGTTGCTATTGCTTTTGGTGTTTTAGTCATGAAGTCCTTTCCCATGCCTATGTCCTGAATGGTATTGTGTAGGTTTTCTTCTAGGATTTTTATGGTTTTAGGTCTAACACTTAAGTCTTTAATCCATCTTGAGTTAATTTTTATATAAGGTGTAAGGAAAGGATCCAGTTTCAGCTTTCTACATATGGCTAGCCAGTTTTCTCAGCACCCGAGTAGCCTGTATTCCCAGCTACTCGGGAGGCTGAGGCAGGAGAATCACTTGAACCTGGGAGGCAGAGGTTGTTGTGATAATACCCTGGATTCCCAGTCTGTTGCACACCTGCTGTGTAATACATTCCTATTGAGTGTAAAAAAAAAGTGTGACTGTGGTGGGAAATCACTCACAAAATTAGGTCACTCATGAGTTGACTTTGTGTTTATCAAAATAGAGATTATCCTGATTGTGCCAAACTTAATTAGAGGTGCTTTTAAGAGAAAGAGACACATAGAAAAATACCTCTGCTGGCCTGAAAGTCTAAGTGATTTCTAGGCGGAACATACTGTAAGCTGCTTATAGTGGCCACATGGTAGGAAACATGTTTGTATATTGTCATCATTCCTGCCTCCTGCACATTGCTTCCAGTAGGGAGAATAAGCGGATCCTATGGCAGAGGGAAAAAAGGGAATCTCATTTATGCAAGAAATAATCACCTCTCATCTGGGATAGCTAAGAGAAACAGGAGACCACAACAGGGCCGCATTAATGGGAGGACAAGGGTAACCTGGGTAAAAGTGCTCACTGGTATTACAGAACAACATTTAGCAAGCTGTAGTGAATGATCAGCCTCTGGGATACTGATAGTCTACCATCAAGGCTGAACTCATTCTAATTCAATCAGCATGTCTGCACCATTCTGGTGACCCAGGTTTACACTACTCATTACAGAAATACCATGAAGACCAGTGGGTAATGTCCTAGAATTGAACTGATTTCCTAATTTTTTTTCACATTATAAAACCTTAAAAAGAATAAATTTATAAATAATTAACTTCTAATTATAGAGGATTCTACTATACTGTAATAAACTATAAACATCTTAATATGAATATTTCTTGAATA